TGTGTGAAACACTTAGCAGCTTGAAAAATCACTCCAGTGCATGTGTGTATGTGTGTGCCCAAAATTCTGAGAAGAGAATGAAAGCGAAGGAATCTTGTCATGACTTACCCCTTCTTTTTTTTTTTTTTTTTTTTTTTCTTTTCTAAAGTTGAGTTCACATGCTATTTTATCAGGACCTCATGTTTCATTGATTCTGAAACAAATAGATTTTTGTACCTTATGTTCCTAGTTATAAATATTTGTGGAGAAATCCAAACTTTGTGAAGGAGAAGCAAATTGGAATTTTAACTAAATTTTATGAACATCCCTCCTTATTTCCACTCAATTAAAATGAAATGTAATGGAGTTAAATAATAAATTACTATGGTAAAACAGAATGACCAAAACTGGCATGAGACCAATTCTCTTAAAGTAAAAATAATCAGGACAGTATATTAATCAATAGTGGACATTAGAAACTTCCAGAAAAAAATATTCTCAACTCTAAACTAAAATGTAGTTTATGATCCATGTTTTTAAATTCCCATTGTAGTTTTTAAATGCTTATATATTGATAAAAGGATCTTTAAGATTTAGGTTTTTAATTTTTTAACTATTAACCTAGTTGGTGTGACAGAACTTTTTTATGATAATAGAGCTAAGCATATAAGAGAATTATAGTAACATTTATAATGGATCCATCCATGTACTCAGTTTTAGGTCAGATGCTTCACCTTTTCAGCCATACATGTTCAGATCCACTGACTAATTTGTTTGCATTAAAGAACATTAAAACTGTACTGACTGACTCTGACCAGAAGGGAGAAGAAAAATAAGTTGTTGAATGTCTAAAGATCAACTTGGAACTAACCTATAATCCCTTATTAACGAAAGAATTGTTTTTAGAAAATGTTCAGTAGTAGTGTGCCAAAGTGCTACTGAATGGAATATTTTTTGGGGGAAAAAAAGCCACTACAGAACCACAATGCTTGTCAAATTTACAGTAGAAAAAAATCTTAAGTTGATTTCGAGGAAATATGAAGATATTGGCATAAATCTAACAAAAATATTGAGATAAATTAACAATATACATGAACTTTCCAGTATATTGTATACCAAGGCATTAAAAATTTAATTAGTTCATTTTTAGTAATTATAATGATAACTCAGCATATAAATAATTAATATGTATTTCTAAGTAATGCTTTCAATATATCTTATGTTAGATTTCTGCAATTCAGTTACTTAGTAGGAAGGCAGAGACACAAAAATGAAGCAGCAACATTGCAGAATAACAATGAAGTATTGTTGGGTCAATGTTTTCTACAGAAGAATCTTCTTTGAGCTCCTAAAATACACTCAATGGATCCTGAGAGTAATTTCAATTTTGTACCAGCAAATGTGACCTTCATAGACCATCTGAAAAATATTATTGAACATCTAAATTTTAAATTATAGACTAGTAGAAATTAAAAGTATTGGGAGCTGCCTGTTTGTTTAGCCCATAAGACAAATCTTTCTTATTTTCTAAATAATCCTGATTACTTCCTCTTTGCTTTTAAAGAGAAATCAGTCTTTAGGTTTCACCTGTACACATTTTTATACACTCTGATTCCTGTTATCTGCGGCTTGCAGAGGAAGGCACTTGTTTACAATGTGACACACTTTGTAATTTTTTGCCATAAAACAGGTAGTTCATATGGTTTTGCATATTCTCCTCTGAAATAAAGTTATTGGTATTCTTTTCAAAAAAAATTAAAATGTCAGCACTTTTTACACATCTAGCATCTTTATGTTTCTATTGAAGTGTGTTGGTTTCAACTGTTTTAATGTT